AGCACATAAGCCAACCGACACAATCACTACAATTGATATTGCGCCAATTAAAAATAGCCAACATAAAAGGAAGATAAGATTAATACCATTTACATAATCTTACAAACTGCATGAACTCCGATAAACACTGCATCGGTCAAAATGGCGACATCGCCTTCGAATCTGAATCCCAAAATATAAATCAGCTGTGAAAAGGCACGATATGTATTCCTCTTTGATACTGATACGTGTAGATAATTATGGACATGAATTTGATTAGGATAATGTAGAGAACTCTTAGAAGCCTGGTACTCAAGTGAAATAGCAATTAACAAACACATTACTATAGATCAAATTTACTATCTAATGAAAAGTAAATCACATGACGAGAAAGTTCAAATTCCAAGTCAATAAAGATGATCAATAGAGGAAGAAGTAAATTAATAACCAATCATGACAACAAAGATTGTCAGGAGATACACAATTATAACATCATTCAAATGAGTTCATTTCATACTAAAACATGCTTTGAAAATGTTGTATAGCAGATGGACGACGAAAGCTCTGCACTTAAATCTACAACTAGCCCCTCAGCGAACACCACACTTAAATCGAAATTATTGAATATCAATGAGATGCTCATAAGTGACTGGCCCTGTCCAGGTAGGTGGTTACGTGGGGTTCTAGTGGGAAGTCGTGACCAGTAAGGTGAAGCAATTTGGGTGTGAGGGCTCGCCTTGTAACCAGAAGGTCTCAGGGTCAACCCCGATGGGTGTGTACTGATGAAGAGTCCCGAACTAAAGCAAAACAGCTGTCCAGTACTCCCTGTAGGTTCCCAATAGTTCTCTAACCGATATCAGCTCATGATGAGATCCTGTAACCAATCAATTAAATCCCTACAAACCAATACCTGAATATCAAAATCATTCTCTTGAGCAACAAATCTCCATTTCATCGAAATTCCCCACTTTAAGAAAAGAAAATTGGCATTCAAAATTTATCTACTTCTACCTAAGTTTAAGTAGGACTCATTTTTTCTTCCACATACATATTATATTATTCTGTGATCTAATAACAGACAGATTTCTGTATATGCTTATCTCTCAAATGTTAACACAGTTCATCGATGTTATCTCACTGTGTGTGTGTGTGTGTGTGGCGATGTATACGTGCCTTGTGTGTATGTGTGTGCATGCTTGCATGTGTGTTCCAGTATGTCAAAAAGCTGACCAATAGCAATTACCCTATATCATCTATAATCTAAATGCCTATAATGAAATAGAATACATATACATGACCTAAAGATGGTCAGTTAGATATTATATACATACAGTAGAGGAGGGAATGGATCACCATTCATTCCTACAGTTTATTAGTTATAAAGTAATGAGGAAAAAAGAAATTAAAACACTGATATTCTGAAGAAAAAAATAATGAATAAGCGCATGCAACTGAATATAAACAATGGGTGATGACTGAGCGTGACATGGTGGAGACGAAGTGGAAATTTAGCCTGCAACAAAGGAGTTGAACCAGTGGACTTTGAAATAAAGCAGTCAGATGTGGACTGATTAGATTCAGTCGCGTGATTCCTGTATGCTATCGACGGTACTGTAGTAGGAAATAAATCGTATACTACGTATCTTTCAACCAGTTTCCGTTCATTGGTTGTCTTACATTTTCTTGATTTTCAAAAACAAATCTTTAATTCCATTATAGGTAAAATTTATTTTGATAAAGTCTCACAGTGTGTTATACAGTAATATTTACTGATGACCACGTTTCGAGCACAATTTATTGCCACTCATAATCATATCAAGGCACTACTCACAAAACTTTCTAACTTCGTTTATATAATTTCATTATTTTTCATCTCTTGACTTGATTGGTAGTAGTATTTTCCATATTTCCGGTATGAGTGATCAGTAATGATGATAACATAAATAAGAGAGAATATAAGGCATCTGACGTTATACCAAATGAGGAGGGGACATGTGAAGCCCTACGTATAATTCTCAACAAAGTGGGAATTAGAGTGACATATAAACCTACAAAATCACTTACGGACAAGCTCTGTAGGTTAAAGGACCCAATGGACACAATTAGACAAAATAATATAATTTACAAAATACCCTGCAATGACTGTGAGGTCAACTACATAGGTCAAACTAGTAGATCAGGTGTAATCAGACTGTTAGAACATAAGAATTCAGCTAAGAATGATTGACCCCTAGAAGATAAGAAATTTAGAAAAAAGCTCAGTGATTGTGTAACGACAGAAGGCAAGAGTCAGGCAACAGATCATTTATTAAGGAAATCAACGCATATTTATATGTTTTCATGTACATTACTATGGATATGTAAACAAACAAACACAGTCTTCCGATTGGTTGTTTCTCACGACAAATCTTGGGAATGTAAATATTGACGTAAATTACTGTCTACCAATTTGGCTAGTAGACAGCTCTCACCACACTCGTCCCCCCGTCAAATAGCTTCGCGCGCAGGCGTTCCGACCTTCTGGGTGATGCATCCTCTCGTTGATGATTGTTACAGACCGGCTTGTCCCAATGCACCCATCGTTGGATCTGACTGGCGTTAACTCGTTTTTGTTTGTCACCTCTTCTGATGGTATATACTTGACCCCGTCTTTTTGTGACTGTGTATGGTCCTCCCCGTTTTGGAAACTGTTTGCCTGACCCTGCCGCACATTCGTAGGTATTTGGCCTCACACTTTCATATGCTGCTTTCTCCCGACCTCCCAGCAGCGTCCCAAGTAGCAGCCTCATTGCTCACAGACCTTGGACGCCACTCAACTGCGAAGAAGCCTCAAAGTCCTGCCCGAAGATCCATATGTCTTCATCAAAAACTGCAGGGCATAGGTTTTCCATTTGTCGGTAGGCAGCGACATCAATTGTAAAGACAGAAGGCAAGAGTCAGGCAACAGATCATTTATTAAGGAAATCAACGCATATTTATATGTTTTCATGTACATTACTATGGATATGTAAACAAACAAACACAGTCTTCCGATTGGTTGTTTCTCACGACAAATCTTGGGAATGTAAATATTGACGTAAATTACTGTCTACCAATTTGGCTACTAGACAGCTCTCACCACAATTGTACTGCATGCATTAACACATAATCAAACAATAGGGTGGGATAGTGTCAAAACTCTAAGAAGCAATATATATATATATATATATATATATATATATATATACCGAATCTTTGTTCATGGAGTACACACCCAACATGGGCATTAGGAATAACTCATCACCCATTCCGGAAATATGGAAAATACTACTACCAATCAAGTCAAGAGATGAAAAATAATGAAATTATATAAACGAAGTTAGAAAGTTGTGTGAGTAGTGCCTTGATATGATTATGAGTGGCAATAAATTGTGCTCGAAACGTGGTCATCAGTAAATATTACTGTATAACACACTGTGAGACTTTATCAAAATAAATTTTACCCATAATGGAATTATACTCTACCACACTGCACAAGTTCTATTCTTAAATCAACAAATCTTTAGTTGACTTATTATGTAAGGAAGGTGAGGCTTTTTGTCATCATAACTCAACCGCTTCACTTACAATTTATTAATTCGTATATTCAATCCATTCTTCTTTATTTTTCCCTTCACTTCATGAAAAGGACTTAGTTATGCATTACAGAGAATATTGAGGATTATAAGTAAGGTTGGAGGTGTGTGTGTGTGCCTTTGTCTCAACCAACTGACCCTGTCTAAGTTAGTTGTTTTAATTGGCTAAATTCGTCTTATCTGATACCGAACGTCGTCTTTATTACTGTCAACTTTCTCCACTTTTCTCTTTTGGGTAAGGCCAGAAGAAATATCATGAGAATGTATACTAACACGGTATCTGAATATAAAAATTCGATCCTTAACCTATTCAGCACGGGTGTTGTGTGAAAAGAGTTTATTAAGGCCTAATACTTTATAATCTGTAAACGGACAGCAACTTATTGTTACCAGTATTATTATTAAACATATCTGTTATTTATCTAATAAATTCAGTTGCTGTAGTTTTAATGTTTCTGTTATTTTATGTGTAAATGGAGATAAATTGTTGTGATATGTATAAAGCGCTGAATATTCCATTCTGTATTTAGCAAAAAATATTGTTTGGAATAAAGTGACTTATTATCATTATTATTATTGCCTTAGGTTCTGATTGGAACATAAGGCTTCAACAGCACTCTACCCTCCAATTTCCTTTCTAATGGCTCATCAGTTACCATTTTGCAGACTACACTTCCATAAATTCATCTGCTGTCAAAGATTCCTAGCTTTTCGATTTACCATTTACTCTCATTTTATTTGAAAGCTGACAGTATCAAACATTGTGTAGACACTAAGTGTTGCCTTGCTATTTTTGTTGTCATTGAAGGAAAACATGTCAGCTGACAACAGATTCCCTAAGGTCTTCACAAGCCCTCGTCATTTTGTCTCCCCGATTCCAGAGAAGAATAAGTTTATGTATTTTAATACTTTGAAGTTTTTGTAGCGATCACATTGATTATCCACAGGTAGGGTCCCTAGTTCCACACCCCACACTCCACCAGTGCTTACTCAAAACTACCTAAGATTGTCTCCGCATCAGCTAACTGCACAACCAGCTTTTCCCCTATATTCAGGATTCTGAATAGGATTGCCGTATGAAGACCCGGTCGGAGAGGGAGTGGGGCTAATATAATAATGGTGAACGGACAGGAAGATATTATTCATTCCTATGACCCTGAGCATCATTACCTATGATATGACTGAAGTGAAATAATGCCCATCTGGTCGGCAGTTTGGTCTCACAGCTCAGCTAGTGGCTTTTGGACTAGCGCAACTTAGAGGCCACTGGTGGGAATCTTTCCATGACTCAGATTTCTATTTTACAATGCCTTTACATTCATCATCGGTAGCAGCAGACTATCTCAACCAAAAGGTGGCTATCAAAGATAAATAGTCTCACAGTGAATAATGCCGATTTGCTTTTATTTAAACAACCTCACTTACCACATCTATACATTCAGGTGTCAATGAATCACCATTCTGTAAAATAAAAACAACAGAGACAAAAGGTTATATTATTAAAAAGTGAGTTTTCTATTGGAAGACTGAAGTGAATCACAACAAGTAATATTACATATGGCTTATAGGGATTTCACTGATTTGAAGTTATTCAAGTATTCGTCTTTAGGAAACTGACTGGTCACAAGTTTGATCACGAGCCCATACCAGTTACAGAACCACCGGAAAACCAGGGAGTAATTGACAGGTGTTTCGTCCCAGTCTGGGACTCTTCGCAGTACGCGCTCACTGGATTTCGAACACATGACCTTCCAGTTACAAGGCGAGCTCACAAACCATTAGACCATTTAGATCCAATCCAGTGGCCCATGAATTCCAACTCGAGACTTCAAGTTAGATGACTGATTGATTTCATAGACAACAAAACAGAGAAAACTAAAGAGTACTGGATGACTGTTTCCCCCACCTCTTCCTTCTTTTTGACTGTTCGACAGTGCCCACCCATCATCTCTCTTCCAGAAGGATCGAATCCACGACCTTCAGTCTACCAGACAAACCCACTAAATACTATTCAGCTACTGGGAGGGAGATCTATGCCTCATAAATTCCAGAACATAATCACACTAGAAGAAAGACTCTATTATTTTTCTCCATCTAATTTAAATTCACTTATTCACGTTTGTTTGTCTTATTGCTTGACTTGGTTTGAAGTTTCTGTAACGATTTGATTAGAAGTCACCTCTTTCGCCTATCCAGGTAGTAAAGTTTCAACTGTAGGCGGCACTGGTGAGGTAGTTAAAGGCAGTCAAGATTCGAAAAGCAAGATATACATTTATTACTCTGAAATTGCCATGGAAATCCACTGAGGCAAGCATGAAGAACACGGTTCAGATCTTCGACACTAATAATAATAACAGCACGAAAAGTCTACACAGTTTACAGAATTTTCAGCGAAGTTTATTGCATAATATTTTCCTTTCATCCAGGATCGTCAAGTAAAATTGCACTCTAAAGTTCCATCCTCTGACGCAATCCTGTTACACTTGAAGAATAAAATAATCCCTAATTGTATTCTTCTTCTGTCTTCAAGAAATGCACAGCAGTAGGTTGCAAGACAATTAAAAACGTGCATGAGTACAATTGTCGACTCATGGATACAAGTGGATGCAGAATAGAAATTCATTTGGCCCAGTGATTCAAGAAGGTCAATTATGCATTTGGTCAGTAATTGCTTCTCGATGCTCCAGATACTTGGCATTTCACTAAAAGCACTTCCAAAAGGCTACTGCAGATTTTCACCAACAGCTGCTCGTTACGGTCCATACTGAAGATCAGAAGGCTGGAAACAAATAGCCACGAGAAATTCCGGCAAAGAACCAGTAAGCCAAAGCGCTTTTTGTTCGATATACATGACTCAAGGAATGGAGACATATTGGATATATACTGTGAAGAACGGTGAGTGACGTAACACACCAGGTAGGCCTTCAGTTTGAAGGTGAAGGAGTTAGGAATGGGTCCGGGGGCGATATGCAGGAGATGATGTGAAGATTAGCAAATGAAAACTTAAAGGAACAGTCGGAAGGCAGTTGTGGAGCCAGTTGGGTTGGGTGAAACACACAGAGAGGGAGAGAACCAAGTGGAACAGAGATGTTCCCTCTTTTGAAGCCCTATGTTCCCCTAGGGACACAAAGCAGGCACAATAAGAATAATAAACATGTCTTCGAAACATGTTTATGGATAGAAGAAACGAGGAGGAATATAGATAAGACTGTCACAATCGATAGATAAAAAAAGCCTGTAGGGAAGAAAAATAAGGAGATAATCAATCCACCTACTATCTTTTTCTCTTTCTTTCTAAGTATCTTTTTTAATAATTTATGAAGCGATAACAATAATAGTAATCAACAAATTCACGGTCATTTAAATTGGGCGGAAATTATTTCTTTTTAAAAACGGTGATTATGAGAATTAGGTCATTTGATCAAAAAAAAAATTCTTATAAAAAGAAAACTTTTCATTTACTATTTAATTTTACTCAAGTTCTATCATTATGTTATTCTTCAGAGCTACTACCTGTAATCATAATGATGATGACGATGAGTAATCATCATGAAAAGGGATTAAAAATGCTAAGGGAAGCACGCAGCGCGCGCGCGAGAGAGAGAGATAGGTAAAAATAGGTGTATTGCCTAAGGTTTATTCAGATAATCCGTCTTTTTGTATTCCTCATTTCTTTTGCTCGTTTCATTTCAAATTTGTGGAAAAGATAAAAAGAGATTATTGAAAGAACAAGAAAGAAAAAAAGATGAGATTAATCTACACACGCTTATTTGTTTTTCTGCGTATTAAGTGAAACTGTTAACTTATTGGACTGTTTTACATTTTTATTTATAGTAACATTTGATGATAAGCATAATCCGATTACAAATAATTATAAATATATATGTATATATATGTCACGCATAGGTGCTTTGAAGTTTCTGTAGTGATTGAATTAATTTTTCTGGGTACAATCTCTAGGCGCACGCTGCTACACACAGTATAAGAAACGAGATTCTCATTTTTAACATTGATGTCAAGTTAGTTTTTCTGTATGGTTCACAAACCTGACTGTTATTATTATTATTCCCGTGGGTTCCGAGTGGAACAACACATCTCCACTTTGTTCTATTCTCTGCCGTCTAATTCATATGGGTCCATGATTGTCCATAATCTCTCATCTCCTCCAACTCACACGACCTCCTCCATGTCACCCTCACACCGACAACCCTCTCGTTGTTTCCCATTCGGTTGTCACTAAAGCGATGACCCGAAATGCCAGTGATGTCATTCGATGGCCACCTCAACGTATGCCTGATCCATCCTACATATTTGTTGGGCAGTCGGCTCTTGATTAGTTTATTGCCAGCCAGAGTTTCTTGTTACTAATTGTTTCTTACCGATCGGCCATTTGATATTCAGTATGGAGCCAGTGAAAGCAGCCGTTGATGAAAATCTGTGGTGGGCTGTTGGAGGTGCTTTTTGTGGTACGCTGGCCAATTTTTGGACCCGTATGGAAGAATTGACTGATTTTACATTTGTGCTGAAAATCCGAATCTTATTCTTTATGTTGAATGACAGCAGAAGATTTGCAAACTCGTTTCACGTTGATGATCGCGTATCTTGCCTTTCCGATTCTGGCTGGCTTTGAAATCTTCATCCGTTCCGCTAGCTATGGTTGAAACTATGCTTTCTAGATAAGTGAGGGAAGTGACCTCTTTCAGGTTTCTCCTATTGATGGTGGTTAGTGCTGCTTGTTGTTGCTGTCGGTTAGTCACAATTCTTATATATATAAATATATATTCAAGTTTTGGTTTTCAGGAAACCAATGAGTCAAAGGTTTGATCACGAACTGACATGAGTTAGATAACCACTGGAAAACCTGGGAGTACTTGACAGATGTTTTGTCCTCGTCTGGGGCTCTTCTTCAGTGCGCGCTCACTGGGTTTCAAACACAGGTCCATCCGATTATAAAGTGAACTCATAATCCAATCAGCCACCTGGACCCGATCCAATGACCTATGACCACAATATATAGCATGACAGCCAAACAATGTCATTGGCGAACAACGAATACATGTATAAATATATATATATATCGTTCCTCGTCGGCGACTGGAGTTCATAGGACACTGGATTCCGTCTCAACTGACTGGTCATTGAATTTTCCCCGTAACATGAAGGTCTCGGATTTCATCCTCCTGTAGAGTGATGGTTTTTTACCACTGTGAAAAGTCCAAAATCACGGCAGTTCAGTATTCCCCGGTTCTCCATTTTTGATTGTATAACTGATATCAGCCTTTGATATAACTTAAAACATTGAACAAATCTGTACAAACCAGCTAACTTGAAAATCTACAAATTAATTCACAATATTAATGACAATAACTAACCTGTTTTACTCTCTCAATGATATTCACTAAAACGCGATTAATTTCACTGGATGCGTATTGATAAATATTCCTTGCATTTCTTTCATCTGATAATTTATTTCGAACAGAAGCTATTGTATCATTTGTATACGTTTCGATTGAATTCATCTCAGCTAGCTGGTTTGTTCTATCCACTATTAGAGGGTTATTTATCTGGAAAATGTCTCCTTCCACTCTTTCTCCAGACTTCTCTTCTTCTTTTTCTTCTCCCCCTTCAGTTCCGACTACTACTACTGCCACTGAAGCGTTTTTCTTTTCCTCATCAACCACCAGCTGACAGGTTACTGTTGAATAGGCTTCAGCGATATCATATGATAAATTCGATTCACTATTGTCTTGCCTGTGCTGACATGGAATGTCTATTGAAGATACTATCTTAGAGGTAGATGATAAGTGATCCAATGAAATATCGTTATCACATAAAGGTTTGCTTGTTACGTAATCTGCGCAGTACGCATACACATTGTTTTGACATTTAATATCTGATTTCAGCGGATCGATAAGAAATGTTGCAGACGAATCAGTTATCTGATAAGGGGTAGAAGTAAAACAGAGAAAAGCTGCTTCTTCAACAGAGTTTTCTTCATTCAATTGAAAAGATTGATTCCAAGTTTGGCCATTAACTGACGTCATAGTTATAAAACCAAAATCAGGAAGTACATTGGACAACCGTTTCATTTTGGTTCAAAACCTTCGACCTGCTGATTTTGAGGCGAGTCAGACAAGTGTTCAGCCAATGGGATGGCCAGCCCCCTGAATTCCTAATTACACTAATTCGCGATATACAGCTCCACAGCTAACTGATATTATCGGCGATTATATATCTTCATGCCCAATTTAGTGGACCCCAGTGGTCATGGTTCCACTAACTGGAACTCCAGGCACTTTATGCCGCAGTGAATCACGGTTGTATTTTGTACTTAAGAGCCTTAACTAGTGAGGAAATACGTGTCCAGTAAGTGCTCCACGTTTTTCCATGTTTAGTTGTCTAACTGTGATGTCACTTCGTGATTATGCATGAAATAAATCAACAAACACATTAAAAATCGTGAGTTTACAAGCGATGAAGTTAGTAACTGTATAACTACCACACAATGGAAGTTAGATGGAACACACCCGAAAAAGCTTAGATGGTAGATGGTTGGAAACAGGCAGTAGAAAGGCTTGAATCAAATTTTCTTACTTAAAATCACGTGTCATCGAGATGTAACCAAAACCTAGAAGGAATTGATATCTCCCGCGGACACTTAGCCTCTCTTTCGATAGCCAATGACATAAACAATAAGCTTATCAAGTCTCGGTTAACCCACTATAGGACTGTAGTGGATAAATTTGTATTTTACGGAAGCGTTACCAAAATCATTTGACGAATCCATGTTTATCAGTACCGATGAGTTTGAAACCTAGATTCAAATATTAGTCAGTTAGCTTGGCGACAAAATTTTAGGCTTCCAATAGGGGGAAATCCCTATTTAGCTATTTAGAAGACAAAAGGATTTGGCGAAGAAATAGTTACTCTTAAAATACGCCCTCATTTGTGACTCTAGTCTAATATATTTGGCAGTTTGTAGTGAAATACAAAATCCATTAATTTAAACATACAACAGCCAACCAGTAAAGGCACATTAGAATCACATCAGAAATTGTACTGTAGAGCAGTGCGGTGGGATGGAACAACAGTCAGTTATTTTTTTATTATCACTTAGTACATAGATAGTCAGTGAGAACACGAGATAAAAGGGGATTCGAGCTGAATTGTCTGGTTGTTGTATATACTTCCTCGTCTTTGAGTAGTTCTTCACCTTTCTTGGTGTATTCTACTCCGTTCAATGCACCTAATGACTGCGTAGTCAACCTATCAAAACAACCACTATCAAAAATGGAAAAACAACTACTACAAAAATGATTAAACTACAACACTGGAGACGCTTCAAAAACTGTTTTCTTCTCTGCCTTTGAATCATTACTCAAATCATAAAACTTGAACGAGGAAACACAGGAAGAGACACGACAAACAATCTTACCAATGGTCAAACAGAAAAAACAACACACTCAACTCAACTCTCAAGAACTAAAGGCCGTGAAAAAGCTGAAAGATAGAAGGGACATCGTCATTCTACCAGCTGACAAAGGAAGAACAACAATAGTCATGGACAGAGAAGAATACATCAAGAAAGCTGAAGAACTACTGATAGGCTCGAACTGCTGCGCATCGGTGCTCACTTCTATCTTGAAACCAGTCAGTCAGACAGATTTCACGAGTGATTGTAATCAATGATGTGAGAGGGTGACAATATGAACTGTACAGAAAAATAAACCAACAAATGGGGCAGACAAGATGCAAGATCATGGATGACTAATAACCATAATACTGATGGTGAAGTAATAACGATGATATGTTGTAAACTTAAGAGCACTATAAGTGAACGATTATCAGGGAATAGTGAATTTAATGTCAGCATAACAACAAGTTAGAGAAAAACACTACGTAAATCTAAGTTAGTGGAAATCTTAAGAAAGTTCATGAAATCGTAGAAGGCTAGAGATGAATTCTTGTTAATGAAATAAAGGAAAAAGAAGAAGAAAACTTAAGTTGGGAATTTAAAGTGCCGATGTTTATGAGGGATGTGTTGACCCTATTGTAGGCCAAGACAAACACAGTGGTTGAACATACTTGTTCTGTATGCAAAGACCCAGTCTTCTGGTACTGATTGATACCGATTCAGTTACTGACATAAGATGTAGTCAAGCTCCTATAGATGGATTATCTAAATACCTTATGCCTAAATTAATGGATTTATGACAGTAGAGCCTGAAGAAGAATCTATTGAAAAAAATTGTTTCCCCTAACTATTTTCGTCCTGAATATATGTAACTGATGAACCTGATGAAGAGAGAGAGTTATCGAAAAGGAATATTCTTTGCCTGAACTCCTTTTTATCCTGGAAAACGAATTATCACCTTTGTCATTCCTTTAATTTCCGAGTGAAACAGAGGGCTCAATGCCTGAACTTTCAATAGCTGTATTGTTGTCTGCACGAGGTGGGGTGGCTTTCAACCTCACGTTCAACCTTTCTTCATTCCAAGACATACCGTCAGTTAGTAAAATAGATGCGGTTTTTAGGCAGTGCGTCAACGACCGGCAGTCAAACTTCAAACTTCTTGATTATGTAGCACGATGGTTAGAATGATGAACACATACGATAATTGGTGTCACTGTCAATAGTTCGAGTATACATAATTGGAAATGTATTGCTTACTTTTCTATAATTATTACAATTTCTTTCCAAAGGTACATTGAAACCTTCTAAAACTGATAGAGACTGACTAAATAATTCACTTGTCACTAAACAAATATCAGAATCTTTTACAATACATGGTGCGCTTGTCCGCTGATCATCACCTTGTGCAGACATTTCATTAAATTTCTCATCTTTCGTCATGTTTGAGATAGGCTGTATAACTGGCGAGGGCTTGTTCGCATTTAAAGAATTAGTTATCGCGTCCGCTTCACGTTCACTGTTATTTGTGGTTAAATTTTTAGTAATTGAAATATTTGAACTTAAAATTGCTTGTTCACTGTGATTAGAATATTCTTTAACTAGTGAAAACAATTCATCAGATTTGTGTTCACTCGTCTACAAAATAAATCAGAGGAAACTGATACAGCGAGTGGCGGAGTGTATATACATATATACTTGGTTACGTTTAATTTCAATGACAGTTTCATATCAGGAAACCACACCAGTTAAACTGAATCATTGAAAAACAAGTAGCGCTATATATCAGAAATCAATAAAGTTAGAATTTATGGGTCATTGGATTCCAGGCGCAATTTCGCTGAATTGCCGACGAACTTCCCCTCCAAAACCTGAAAGTCCTGAGTAGTACGACCCTTCTTGGAGCTGTATGTGGGCACTGCTGATCAGTTGTAAACTAGGATTATACAACTATCATGCGACTTTCCTTGATTTCGGTGGTTCTCTAATTGATGTTGTCAAGTTCATAACAGTAAATCTACGTTAAAGAAGAATACTCGGAAAACACTGTTGACTGTTAAGTATGAATAGTGTGTGAAATTCTACAGCCATTCTTAAAATTTTTATTTGTCTAAATTGATTTCCGTATTCTTGTTGGTTAGTTACCTAGTCTATTTTGATATGGAGTTTGAGACGATGAGTGCCGGTAGAATTCCAGCCTGAGTTAGAACACTGTCCTACTCACTGGGAATATGAAGTTACTTGTGAATCAAATAATGTAGGAAATAATAGTATGTATATATATCAGAATATAATATTGAATATTTCAGCCTGTCATGTGGAAAGCCCAAGTTTGATTCCTTGTCGAGGAGCCAGTTGTACTCATCGACAACGAGGGAGGTCATAGTTTGATTCCCGGTGTTTTCTGGAATGACAGTGAAAGCATTTGAAACAGGAAACCATCCAAATGAAAAACAGCACATCAATATCACAGTCATCCACCTGAGCGATAAAAATACTTGATGTCGTTTTTGACAGTATCAGCTCCTAATCCACAGAGACTTCAACGATATCTGAATATCACCATAGTGTTGTATTGATTTCATGATGGCTTGCAGTGCCGTTTGAAAATGTGAGTGCTGAATGGATTCTAGTTCCAGTAGGAACAGTATTACCCACTAACTCACTCATCCACGTACTGGATTTACGCAGTTACATTCAGTTGATGAGCACCGAATAGGATGAAATACCAATTCCACTGGTAATCACTGCCAAACAAAATATCATCAAGTTATTTTTATGTTACAAAACGGCAGTACATTCCAGCATGCCCTTAAAAGGTACAATGGAAGCAGTTGAGAAGTTCTGTTCTAGAAAACTTGATCGAATTCCACCTCTTAACCAACCCCGACGTTGATTTTAAGATCATCTATGAGTTTCATTCTAACTTACCACTTTTTCCCATTTCATAAACTTCTTAGGAGAGTGAAAATCTTGGCTATTCATGATAACAAGCCAGATATTTGTGTATAAAAAAAGTATGTACAGTCCTTATTTATACCTTAGTCGTAGAGCAGTAAACAATTATTTATTTTTCATTTTGTTTATTTAATCTAGATACCTTTCCCTCTGTTAGGAAGATTGTTATTATCTTTGTTTTCACTTTGAACAGTTTCCGGCATTGTTTCACTTCCCCTTTCGCCTCCCGGTTATTATTTCAATCCATTATATATTTTCTGATGTTAAACTCTACCTAATCAAAATTCTCAAGGCGTTAAGTAGTTTTTATTTACCTTCTACACCTTTCCGCGACCTTCTGGTTATGCTATTTGGTGAATAGGCGGAACTTGGAATTCATGGACTATTGGGTCGGTTCCAAGAGATTTAAAGGTCTATGAGCTCGCCGTGCAACCGTAAAGTTTTGAGCTCAAACTCCGGTGAGTGAGTACTGCTGAACAGTACCGGAATGGAACGAAGCAGCTGTCCAGTTTTCCCAGGCTTTCAAAATGTTCCCTGCAAATCAACACTTCAATAATCACATCCCTAGTTTAAATTTCCTGAAGAGATATAGTTTGTTGAAAAGTCATTCATACATACGATTGTATATCTGGATAATAAATTCGTTGATAAGACTCTATTCGGTGAATATCATGTTATAATAGAAATAAAAGACACTCAGTGTTAGTGTATTCACTTACCATTTCATTTGTATTATTACTGTTTGTTTTTCCATTATTAGATAGATTCTGTTTACCAGAGTTCGGTCTACTTTCAACAGATAAACTTTTATCTCCGTCTCCATCATCATCGGTATCAACACCACCATGACCCCTGCTACTGTCACCATTATTTACGACACTCCCATCAGTAATCCTGTTTGACGCGTGCTTCTCATTTAATTTACTTGTTAAGGATTGTGCTGAGGATTTCTCTATCATCTTGTGTCTTCCATTTTCACCATCTCTGTCCTTGTAGTCAGTGTTATTAGCTTTTGTCTTCGTCCTGCATTTTTTTGAAGGCATCATTGCTTGCTTTGTTAATTGATTACGCAATGTCTAAATCCGAAAGCCGCCAACCATCAAAATAAACATTATTAAAAACAAAAAACAAAGTAATGCAGATGAGTATGATAAAAAAACATACGTGAGATTTAATTATTCTTTTATGCACTGACTGATAAAAAGAATTTATTCATGCCTAGAAATAGAATAATTCGCAAGATAAATTTCAAATTGATAACCAGTTATTTGTTGTTTTTTTTTCAGTGTGCACGGTGGGGTCACTAACCTCATGCCTACCCGCTCAACCACCCTCACAAACTTTTCACTTAACTGGGCTTGCTACCGGCTAAGGGAGGTTTGCAGAAGTGCATTAGTGACCGAGAATCGAGCTCCGAACCCGTGTGTGTGTGTATGTGTGGCCGAAAGGTCACTATGCAAACAGTATGATTTGAAATTATCTGATGTAGCAACAAAAGCATTTCTAACAGGCTACTTACTGCAGACTTTCATCAGTACCTCTTCCTTTCAAGTAATTTGGTGAGTGGTGACTAGCAGTGGAAGCCAGGATGTGAATTTTGCCTTATTTGGGACTCATCATTTGGTCGGTTGGTCGGTCGGTCGGTTTTCGACATAGAACTTTGCACATATGTACGGCAGTTCAAGTCGCCACACTCCATGTAGCACACAAAGAAAGAGAAGAAAGTAGGAGAAATGCACAACAAAGACAGTAAACAGAGGTGGGAGACAAAGGTATAGTAATAACGAAGAACAAAACAGTTTAATTGGAAATCATAAGTCACAAGGAGTGGATGCATCTGCGCCAGTCATCAATGAGAACGATTTTGAGCCATGTCGCCAATTGTTTCCAACCATTGGTTTTTACCGTCCCGAGGACCCCAACCAGGAAGTCTACATCTTCCTACGTGGCTTAAGCTAACTGTTGTGGATTTCATTGACTGGTGCCATGTTTTCGTTTGACTGCCACTGGCTCTTTTCCAGCCTGGCCCTATATCAGCTAACATTGCCCGTCGAGGAAGGCGATGACTAGGCATACGTAACACATGTCCTAACCATCTCAGTCGATGTAATTTCACAGTCTTGTTGACTGATTTGCCCGCCTTACCTAGCACTCGACGCCTAACCTCAATATTGCTCACCTTATTACACCACTTCACGCGGGAGATAGGACGCAGATACCTACGGTCGATGACAGCTAATCTTTTCATGTCTTCTGCTCTCAATGACCAGGTATCACAGCCATAAAGGAGGACGGAGCGGACTAATGAGCAGTACACACGCCCTTTGGTCGATAGCCGGATGTCACGTCTACGCCAGAGACGGCGTGAACTGGCATATGCGAAACTAGCCCTCTGTATTCGTGCTGAGATTTCGTCAGAGATCAAGCCGTTGGGGTTGATGGTACTTCCCAAGTAAGTGAAGTGGTCAACGTGCTCTACCACTTCACTTCCTACTTCTAATCTAGGGGTCGGTGAAGTCCAATCCTGCAGCATCATCTTACACTTTACAGGGGCGAATCACATGCCAAACATACGAAGATTGTTGCTCAAGGTGTTCAATAGACTCTGCATTTTGTCAGCGTCCTCGCCTAGAAGGACTATATCGTCTGCATATTCTAAGTCGACAAGATTATTCCATGGTAGCGAGTCAATCCCTGAGTCGCTGAAGTGTGTTAGGGTTAAGTCCATTAATACGTCTATGATGAAGTTGAGTAGGAATAGGGATAATGGGCATCCTTGACGGACGCCACTAATCGTCACCACTTCGGATGACAACTCGCCATAAGCCATCACCTGGCTGCATGAGTACGAGTAGAGTGCCTTAATCAGTGCAATGTATTTTCTCGGCATTCCCTTTATAGCTAAGCATCGCCAGAGAACCTCTCGGTCGACAGAATCGAATGCCGCCTTTAGGTCAAGAAATATAGTGACTGTCGGACGCCGGTAGGAATGCCTACGTTCTAGAATCTGTCGAAGGGTGAAGATATGATCAATACACTTTCTTCCTGGCCTAAAACCTGGATTCCCCAGAGAGTCATAGTGTTCCCACTGAGACTCGAACCCAGTACCCCTCGTTTCAAACAGTAGCACTTTATTCTCTAGAGCACTTGTATTCCACTGCCAATCACCATCCACCGAATTAAAAGAGTTATGCCATTGAAGCCCTGATATGCATTTGAGGCACATTTAATAAATGATAAAAACAACAGTAGATTTAAGTTTGTGATTTTCTGCTAACATACCTGAACCGAAGAAGCCAGACTCATTTTTGAAAGCAAACGTTATATTATCTGCCGCTTATGAGAACGAAATGTTCTCAGTAGTGTCATGACCTACTCGAGTTTTTCTTCTTCACCAGTGGATTTTACAATGGCACATACAAATCACCATGGCTTCCTCCGATGACTCTCTGTGTATACTAATAATATCTACATTACCATTTCTGTAGGACTCGTAAGAGATTCAATATAAGAGCAGAATTTAGACACTACAGTAGAATATAATTCTCTATCGAGGCAATAACAATACAGACATATGGGGAAATAATATCAGAGATCTTAAGTAGGAGTCTCTCTCATTCAGACCATGCAACTCATTCATAGACAAATTTTTAAACAAATCGCCTGATTGACCCGATGGATCCAAATAGGAGAGAGGATATAATTTACCGAAAACCACGCAATAATTGTCACGTCAATCACTGGTAACACATCAGGATCAACCAGATTATCGGAATATAGAAATTTAATTAACTGGATCTGAAATGATCGACCCTGATGACGTTCATCATTTAGAGAAAAAAAACCTCCACCATTTCAACATATTCAAGTGCACGTAATCATATAGTGATATATGCGGTATCAGGGAAAAGTATTCAAAAGTAATATATTTAGGTTAAGAGACAGTGATGGTTTAGTTACCGAATCTTTGCACATCGAAATTACACCAAATATCTACAGTATAAATAATGACACACCCGTCCAAGCGAAATTTGACACTGCAGCGAAAAAACACCAGGTAGTAAGACTATACAAAGCAAATCTGGATATCGTCTCAAAATACATTGATTTGACGATTATGAGCAACAATAAAAGTCCTGCTCGAAACTTCATCATTCAATTGTGTCACTCACTGTACCTGTGTGTGTATATATATATAATATATCAAATAAACTTATCTAATAACATGGAACTTATCGAACAATTGGTAAAATTATACGCGTGTGTGGGAAACCTATAATCTTTTCTCCTATGTTATTAACTCCCCTCATCTACCTCAACCCACCAGTCACTGAAAATTTTATGTTGGTTCATTGAATAACAGACTAAGTAACTGTTTGATAAGCATAAATTGTATTCATGAACATATACGCAAAAGATATTTCGAAAGGAATATTGTTCAAGATCAGGGTGTTTTGCTACGTCCCCGTTTGCTGTCTACCCTCCTATCTACCTGTTGTTGCTTATTTGTCGGTGTGGTTCGTTAGTCAGTCAGTCAGTCAGTTAGTCAGTGAGTTACTTAGTTAGCTAGTTGCCTGGCTTGTCACAACCATGACGACAAGTGTAATTATTCTGATTAATAGTTTTTCAGTGCATTCTATTCCCTATTTCTATCGAAACAATTCTGCCAACGTGAATCAAAGTTAGTTGAACCAAGCTTAATCACATAAGAATAAAAGTGGAAAAGGAGTCGGAGGCAAACCTGTTGTAGTTCATTTGATCTGAATTTGAAACCAATGGCTAGCTTTACTTCCATCAGTCACAATCACTGCTTATATTAGGTAATTTGAGACCTCAAATATAATTGTAAACATATAGACATTATGCATGACTGAAGTATTAGTAAATATGTATGCTAGAAATCTGTGTCATTTATCTAAGCGTGTTCTCATTGAAGAAGAAGAGACAGAAGGAGAAGAGGCAGAAGAAGTAGATATAGGGAAGTACGGGATAACTGACTACTGCTCATTTCACTTCATAAACTCATCAATCAATCAATCAACCAGTTAATATTGATTTATGATGTATATCACCTTCAAATCATGCTAAAACAAAAGAAGAATATGAAGCTCTCAACAATACAATAGTCCTTCTCACTCAAGTGTATTTGTCAGTGTTGTTGATGTTGCTTGCTTAGGGATTTGACTGATTTGAAAGAGAGATGTGTCAGTCAGCGGACAGATAGGAATATCTTTTAGAGATGTAAGGATAAGTTGAGAGTACTGGAAAGCTGTTTCGCACATTTTTTTGAAATTTACCCTTAAACAACACAAAGATAACGTCACAGGGAAATCAGAACCACATTCTCCAGCTTACTAGGTGCACTCACCAACCACTGTGCAACTGGGAATCAAGAATTCCGTCTTTTGTCAGTTGGCGGAATATAGTTTCAAGTCGAGTTAATATTTCATAGTGGATAACTGTACTGTCAGCCCCAGTTAGTAACCACTTCTCTTCAACTTAGAATTCAAAACGATGGAGTGAATGGGTTGCAGCAATCTAGGCTGTACCAAAGTGCACACAGACGAGAAAAGCATGCATAGAAGAGTTAGACTTGAAAGCGAAATAAAGTAAGAAGGAATAATTGGTTGGTTGGTTAGCTCGTTGACTGGATAGTTAGTTAGTTAGTTACTCAGCTTTCCCTATCAATGAAGATTCGCCAACACCGCAATAATGATTAATCTTCATTAACCTGACACCACCTACACCCACTTCCGTTAGTTAATTAGTCAGTTAACTAGATAGTTAATTCTTCGGAATTAATCAGGTGGATAAAGGTATTATAATTTTCTTATAGACGGGTTGGTACTTCCGCCGAAGTGTAGCTGTATAAAAAAGGGAATCAAGGTCGCTAAATGTATGGATTGTTTGAAAGAGAGAGAGACATCATGACAATGATGAATATTGCTACCAGTACTACTGTCGAAAAGAAGGTTGCAGATTTTGAGCTCTTCTGATTCTATTTTGTATCACTTCGTAATGTATACACACAGTGGTTGGTGAATGAGTGTTTCCACACACGAATTGATGAACTGTA